ATCTATTTTATCTATCCTATTATTGAATTCTTTGCATTTTGATTTGTGTTAATTTCAAATGAATATGAATTACCTATTAGTAGACTTCAAAAGAAGTAAGTATATATTTCCATTTTTCTCAGCTGATACTTTTCTAAATATACTATTTTAGGAATATTTCATTTTCCTTGTTAAAACTGCTGCTGTGGAGATGCTGCTAAATGAGATGTCCAGTGAAAATAAAGACCTTAAACCTCTTTCTGAAGTATTCTAAAAATGTACGCATTTTAAATCTGTATTTTAATTGAATTTTTGTGCATTTCATGTAATAAATCTTAATCATATTTAGACCCCCCCACACACACACACTGGATTTCATTCATTCTGTCATACATGTTAAGGCCTATTGAGTCAAAGTTTTGTACCCAAATGTCCTTTGGTATAAGTTTATCCACTGGAGTCTAGTCAATAGATACTTTAAAATTCCTACATTCCACTGGTGTGGTGGCTCATGCCTTTGATCCCAGCACTCAGAAGGCAGGGCAGGTGAATCTCTGTGAGTTCGAGACCAACCTGGTCTACATAGTTAATTCCAGGTCGGCTGGGGCTACAAGGAGATCCTGTCTCAAAAAACAAAACAAAACAACAACAACAAAAAAAAACCAAAAAAATCACATTCCAGGAATTGCTTTAAAGGCTAAAATACAGTGAACAAAGGAGAGAAGAAACTTCTATCCTTACATAGGTAAGTAGTTGCAATTTTAGATTGGATAGTTCTCTAAATTTTTGCCATGAAGATATCTCATAAGCAGCGTAGGGAGACGGCTCAGTGGGTGAAGTGCTTGCTGTGTGTTCTGGTTTGTTTCTTCATTGCTGTGACAAAATACTCTGACCACTACCAACTTGGGGAGGAAAGGGTTTATTTAGCTTACATATCCTGGGTCACAGTTCATCCAGGAGCCCAAGGTAGGAACTCAGGGCAGGAACCTGGAGCACAGGCCATAGAGGAATGCTGCTTACTGACTTGCTCCCCTGGCCCGTGCTCAGCCTGCTTTCTTATGCAACATAGGCCCACCTGCCCAGGGGTAGCACCACCCACAGTGGGCTGGGCCCTCGCACATCACTCATCAAGAAGATGCCCCTCAGACATGACCACAGGCCAGTCCAATAGAGGCAATTCCCCAATTGAGGCTCCCTCAACCCAGGTGTGTCAAGTTGACACTAAAGCTATCCAGCACACTGTGGGAACCTGAAAATCTGAGTTCAGGATCCCTGGAACCCACATAAAAGCTGGACGCAGTTATGTTCTGTAATCCCCGCAATCCTACAGTGAGATGGGAGGCAGAGCTAGAATGCCTCAGAGGCTCATGGACCAGCTAGCCTGGAGTCCACAGCAGAGGCAAACAAAGAAGACCTTCCCTCAAACAAGGTAGAAGACAAAGACTGATATGTGTGGTTGTCCTTGACTTTCATATGCATGTTGTAGCATTCCCATGCCTGTCTACGTGCACGCACACACACACACACAATACATACATACATACATACATACATACATACAAGAACATGTAAAGATCTTAATAGTGGGACAGTGCCTGGCATGCTTGAAGATCAAACAGGTATGTGAATGAAGCTCAGTGAAAAGAAAATGAGAAATGCAGAAGAGTTGGTACAACAGCGCCCACCTAGATAAAATGTAAAATACTAAACAATAATGCTTACAGATAAGCAAATGAGGAAAAGAGTTAAAACACATCATTAAAATGTTGCTCCACTGTTTCCAAATGTCATAGCAGGCCTCTTTATTATTCTAATATTATGTTTTCACTTGATTTTATCTATCTCAACTTTCTGCACTTAAAATATGAAACAGAAAGTTTTGAGATAATGTTTGAGGCACACACTTGGATAACATGGAAAATGACATGGAAGCTCTGCCTTGTCACCATGTAATATGATCAGAAGCTGGAAATTTAACTTTTTCTCACTCAGTCTGGTATTGAATGCTTCCTCTGCTATGTGGTAGAGTTTTAAAGTGGTGTTTGATACTTTTTGAGACATGGAGAGATTTAATTATTTGTAATAAGATTTGCTAGTCTTTAAAAAAAAAAAAAGAAAGAATTTTAGGTTAAAAACAAGAGTTCTAATATATAACTGCTAATATCAACAGACAAGGAGAAAACTGATATATGTTCATATAAACTGAATTTTTGAGTCCTGACAAGCTCCTTGATCATGTAGAAATATTTTACATGAAAATCTGGACTAACTACTAAGACTACCAGAAAATAAGTTTCATATAAGTGGAAACTTATATTTCTTTGGTTAGAAAACATTTATATATTGAAATATGTTCTACTTTTCTAGCCATTACTAAAAATTACACTCAAATACAATAGAATCCAATGATGAACCATTAAAAAGTTATTGATAAACCAGGCGATGATGCACATTTTTAATCTCAGTACTCAGGAGGCAGAGGCAGATGGATCTCTGTAAGATCAAAGCCAGCCTGGTCTACATAGTGAGTTTCAAGCTAGCTAAACACTTGTATAGATTGACAATTGGCTGCAGTTGGAAAATCAGAAAGAAAAGTGTAATATTTTTGATATAAAGCAAAGTAAATTTGAAAGTTGTAATTTAAAAAGCTACTTGAAATACTAACTTTATAATTTAAAATCAGTTATTCTGTCTCAGACTTCTTTTTTTTTTTAGTTTTTTAAAGACAAGCTTTTGCCTCCTGAGTGCTGGGATTAAAGGCAGGCACCACCAAAACCCATCTCAAAACATTTTTTTGAGGGCATAATGTTAAAGGGCGAACAGAAAAAAGTGGAGTCAGCAAAATTGAAACTCAAAAAATCATATCTAAGACCTGTTATGAAAGCTCTTTAGACTAAGGAAAGGAAAATCTACAAAACCAGATCCATATGTGATCTATTAGAACTATATATGGAAAATAGGTAACTACACAGGAAAAGTCTTGATGCATTTATATAAAACAGAACAGGACTCTGCTGTATGAAAATTTGTGCTCTAACTAGTTTTTAAAATAACTAAATCAAAGACCCTGTAAATTACTGGCCCTAAATTCTTTTGTTAGGGATATTTTCAAATCTGGGAAGATACAGAATTCCCTCTCTGTGTGTATGCACACAGAGCTTTCTTCTGTCCCTCAGAGTTGAGAAGTAAACAAACCAGTGATACCACTGAAGCTGAGGGAGTGTCACAGTAGCAATCAGCTGTAAAACCAAAATGGGAAGTGCTGGCTTTTCCAGTCAAGGTGACTAGGAAACCCTTATTTGTGGAATAAGTGAAATCCAGAACCAATATCCCTTTGACAGATAATCTTATACATAAAGTTGGACAAGAAATTTGTCAACTTTTGAGTAAATATGAAAACTTTTCTGTATACTGTCTTAACTATTCTATTTCCTGTATGCTTTGACATGTGTGTTCCCCTGCAAACCCCCACCCCTTAGTATTGGGGACTGAATTCTGAACCTTGTACATGCTAAGCAAGCACTCTTACCACTGAGATATATCTCTAGCCCTCTTTTCATTTGCAGACAGTGTCTCGTCAAGTTCCCCAAGTTGGCTTTGAACTTACTCTGTAACCCAGGCAGAGCTTGAATTTGTGATCTTCCTGTCTCAGCCTCCGCAGTAGCATCACTAGGTCTGGCTTTGTTTGAACATTTTCTTAAATGTTTTATTTATTATTTTTATTTTATGTGTATGCGTGTATTGCCTGTGTGTAGATAAGTGCACCCATGTCATGCAATGCCGGTGGAGAACAGAAGAGGCTGTCGGATTTCCTGGAACTGGTACGGACAGTTGTTAGCTGCCATGTGGGTGCTGGGATTCAAACCTCGGTCTTCTGCAAGACCGTGTTGTTAACCGCTGAGCCATCTCTCCAGCCCCTTGTTTGAACATCTTAAAAGAAAGCTTGCTGGTTAGGAAGAACACATCCTTCACAGGGCTCCAGCTCTTTCTTAGAGACAGCAAAGGGTTGAGCCACCATTTTTCATGAGCAAATCAATCCCCAGTCTATATTCCCAACTACCTCCTTATCTAACTCTCACATCAGTATTTTTCCAGGCTTGAATCCTTAGAGGGCAAAGCATGCCGGGGACTCGAACCCGCGACCCCCGGTGAGGTGAGGATTGGGGATGAGTAAAAACACCGTTCGCCAGCCCTCGCCGCCCCCATTACCCGGGGACACTCAGATGCAACGGGAGCCTAGTAAAGCAGGGACTCATTTATTGCAAGTGTTCCAAAACTTATAAAGGCACCTGGAACTCCCCCCTCCCCCCTGAGGGTGTATCTCAAGGATGGTCACACGCTGATCGTGCACTCCTCAGCAGTGCGGAAGTATTCTTCAGACTTTCAAAACAAGCCAGGCCATGTCCCCAGTAACTTCGGACCTATGCAAGGTGGGGCCTTTAGGTCCCCACAAAAGCACTCGCACACTTAAGAGTCTAAACTCCTCTGGAGTTATTCAAACTAGCCAATGCCTAAACTTTAACTCTGCCCTACTATGCTATTTCCTCGGAACCCTCAGAAAAAACCTTTACACAGGGTTTCCACAGACCAAAATCTAGTGCTTGCTTTCCCCAGGACTCTACGTGCCATGTACTACTGACACCTAATACATTTCTTCCTTCCAAGCTGCATTCTCATCAATTCTTACATTCACACAGATTTTACTATACCAAATTTAACATTTACATTCTCTTAGCTATTTTGAAGTCTGTGAAGATATAGAATCAATCTCAAAATTTCTCTTGTTTATGTGTATATTAAAGGCATTTATACAAAAATCAATGTAACTAAGAAATAATAAAGCATATGCTCACTGTAAGAAAAATATTCTCAAGTGATATCTTTTTAAATAGTCAGCATGTCATTATTTTTCATGTCTTGATTTTTTTTCATTAAAAATTGCCAAATAAGCCACAATTCTGAATGAATTCTAAAGTGTAGTGAGTAAGTATATCAATTTAAATAAAAATGCAATTCAGGGCTGCATGTAGGATATACATTTATTAACAGTGAAAAAGCATTTACCCAAAGTGAATGTTACAAAATACAGAGTACCTCCACAGTCTGAGTAGTTCATTATTTTAGCATTACCTCTACCTACATGGAGTCCTACCTTATGTATTGGGATTTTTTCTCTCTCTCTATCACTAACCAAAGTTTCAACTTACAAATTAAGACAAACAGGAATATATAATTTAATAACTTTTGAGCAATAGTTACCAGGGAAAACATATTAAGCACATTATCTGTTCTCAATCCCTGGATATTTTAAAAGTAAATTATCTATAAAAATATGAAAATAAACTAAATAGTAGCTATAACATAAGCCAAATAAACTAGTCTGATAAGGTTCATAGGTACCATGGTAAGAGCTAATATATTAAATATAATTCTTCCACTGTAGCTAAGCATGCAGAATGAGAGCGAGAGCTGCAATATGTAAGGCTTGGCTTGAAAATCACAATGAAATTTTTTGCTTAGTCTAGAAAATACAGAACTTGCTTAGACATGTAATGTAAGTTATTGTTCTAATGTTCCTGAAGTCAGTCTAACTGGGTAAGAATCCTTGATTCTAGGTTCGTATTTTCCAAATAAGTTTTAATGAAGTTAGAAAGCTAGTCTTAATTTAAATTGGAAGTAATAATACAATAAAAGTCCTCAGAGGGAAATCATCATTTGATGTTCCCAGACATTACATAATGTCCAGTTCCATTGGACAGGCCATTATAGCTATGCTAAGGTATCAAGCACATGAGAATTTTAAAGGAATACCAAATAAGCTGTTTGCTTATGGGGTATTTTGGACAATTATTTAAAAATTTAAAAGAATCATTGGACTAATTCTTCACATCATTACTTTAATCTGTAAGACTGACTTTGTCATTGTTTAGTGACTCTGTTATACCAAACTCAGCCTATGCTGAGTATATGTAGAATAAAACGGGAAAGCACTTTTTAAAAGTTGGTTTATAGTGATGAAGTCACAGACTTTCTTTACTCAGTACTTTAATAATTCACCTGTGAACTTGCTTCTCTCTCACTACACACAAAATCAACCACTAGACTTTGGTTTTAAATGATCATCTCAAAAGGAAGGTCTGTCCAAAGACATACAAAAACCTTAGTGCTCTGTTACATAAATTTGGTTCTATTTAGTTCTACTTGAAAGAATTTGGTTTTTCATTTTAATCAGAATGTTACTTGTCTATACAGAAATACTCCTTAACCATATGAAGCTTGTTTTTTAATTTTTAGACTGAGGCAATATAGACAGGATTTTCAACTCTGGAAAATATTAATCTAATAGATAATTTTTGTTAAGTTCTAGGAATTAATGACATATATTCTAAACTTTTTATATAATTTGGGTTATGAACTATATTCTATGACCACAGATATCCTGGTTACCTTTATAATCTGCTCTGTTCTTCTATAGGACCAGCAGGTAACTAAAAGAACATTAGCTCCAATAGTAGCAATACTGGCATTATTTAGAAGACTGGCCTAAGGCTGGACTTTATAATAAATAACATATTCCTCTAATTTTTAATCACTGTTGTTTCTGAATAGCCTAAAGTTACATAAAACAGCAATTTGCTGTATAGAATTCAACAAAATTTCCAAAAAAGATACTTTACAGATAAGTTCAAACTTTATTAAAACTACATTTTAAATTTAATGTTGCCAAATCACAATAAGGGAAGGGGTGCAGAATCAAGGCCATAAACAAAAAGAAAAGAAAAAGAAAAATCCCATAGTGTGTCAAAGGTTTGAATCTGTCCAGGATTCGGATTTTGATGTTTTAAACTGCCATGGGCAGAACTTAGCACACTCATCAAAAATGCAGTGTCAAACTAATTTACATTTTATACAGATCAAACAGATGTTTATTTAGTGTCATTTGTATATATGTACTGACTATGTAAAGAGAGATGAGTCTCTGAAGACATTTCATATACTCTGGGCTCCCACTGTTTCTGAAAGACAGAATAATAATTATTGTTTTATAAATTACCTAGTGAATCAAAACATCACTTACTAAAAGTGTATTTTTGATTCTCTTCCATTAAAACTTTTACTTTTACTACAATAGTAAACCTAACCCTAATTTAGCTCAACAATAAAAAGAACAGAATGGATGAGGATTTCTTTTCCAGATAGGAAACAGGAGATACTTCTTGTAACTCAAAGTGCATGGGGGCATACTGGAAGGAAAGAAGGGAGCCAAAGCTTAGACCATTAGGAGAGGATGCAGCTGAGATGGATACCATGTACTCAAACAGGCAGAACTGGGCACAAAAGTAAAGGTTTGATACCTGAATGGTCTGATCTTCACCTCATTTCCAGGAAAATATAAAAAGTAAAAAAATTCATACATGATTTTAACTATTGATAGAGAATAACAAAAAGAAAATGCTTTGATCTTAATGCAAGATGCATTTCAGAGGTTATACTATTCCATCCATCCAGAAGAAACTGGAGACTACCAATGCAGGCTATCCAATGGATGACATTCATATAGAAAAATAGGGAAAGAAATCTAGGATTTAAACATTATAATTATAAAAACAAAATGTGCTTATTTTAATAAATAATGCAAGAATAGGGGTAAAATTCAACAAGAGAGGGTAAATCGATATTTAAAATACAAACAAAAAACCAAAAATAATATGAACAATTATAGGAAATAGGCCTCAATACAAATTTGTTACAGAGGAGATAAGAGATACTATGTAAAATTTGAACATTAAGACACCATAAAACTTTAGTGTTAGAACTGAAAAACATAAATCAAAAGTAATCATTAAAAATTTTTATATGTAGGGGCTGGACAGATAGATGGCTCAGTGGTTAAGAACACTTATTCTTCCAGAGGACCTGAGTTCGAGTCCCAGCACCCAAACTGGCAGATAACAACCATCTGTAACTCCAGTTCCAAGGGATCTGACACCTTCTTCTGGCCACTGCAGGTACTACATGACATGGGTCCACTTACATGCAGGCAAAACATTCATACACGTAAGTAAAATATTTAAAATTTTTTGATATTTGTCAGCTCTTTTATAGCATTTTCCCTTAAACTATATACATTCACCTAATACTTTGTTAAAACAAGATTTTAAAAATATAAAATAGCTGATGTAATTAAAAAAAAAAAATCAATCAGCTGGGACTAGAGAAATCACTCAATGGTTAAGATTACTTGCTCTTGCAAAAAACCTGGGTTTGATTCCCAGCACTCACATGGTAGGTGTTTGTCACAACAGTCTATATAACTCTAGTTCCAGTAGATCTGATGCCTCCTTCTGGCCTCTGCAAGCACTGCACACATGTGGTCCAAGGTACACTTACCTATGTGCAGGCAAACACTCACATGCATTGCAAAATACTTAAATACATAAATAAAAATAGTATTTAAAAAATAAAGCAGCTGAACTAAGATTTTCACAGAATACCTCTTCTCCAATGGGAGGCTTACATTTTCCAGGAACTAGCAGTACATTTGAAAAACAAATTGAAACTGTAGGTCATGATTCCTTAATTTTTCAATATCAAATAAAAATTGGTAACTTTTACCAGGTTCTTTCAATATCTGAGAATTTCCAGCTAATTCTTCAGTCTGCATTTCACATATTTCACCAGATAAATGGTTTTTCTGTTCTTCTTCTACCATTTTCTTCCTTAGATCTGCCTTTGGAATGAAAATTTAAAATATAAATAATTTTCACCTCAATATTTGTTATAAAGACAAGGTTAAGTGAAGAGAGGCTAAATACCTCTGAATATATTGTCAGTTTGAGTGGTAAATCGTCAACTTTCACAAAGTCTTCCTCATCAGACTTTTGACTTATGTTACCAGATTCTGCTTCCTACAAGATAAATTATATTTAATGAAAAAGGAAAAACGTAACTTTCTACCTCTGTATTAAAATCTAAATCATGCATGCCAAGAAATAAAGTAGATTCTTAAATAAAAACTGACAAAGGCAGAATGAAGAAGTAAAAGTAGTTACACTGAAGGCTAAAATGACTAAAATACAATGACTTCCTTACTTTTCTCTCTTTTCAGTGGTACTAGGGGTTGTGTCCAGGGTTGTACATATGCTCGGCAATCTCTACCACTGAGCTATAGAATTTCTTATGTTAACAGAATACATCATAATTATATCCAGAAGAATGTAACATTTATAAGCTTTTCAATTTATCAACTCTGTTAAAGCTGAAATAGAAATACTAGGTATGAATTTAGAATTTTATCTTTTTAACCATCTTCTAATGGTTTTTCTTAAACTCAAATCCCTTTCTTGCCCTAGCACTCCCTTACAATTTGTAATTCTATCTTTTATCAACTACCCAAGTAAAAACCTTAGGTCATTCTCTCCTACATTATTCTCAGCATTTGTATTCTTATTCACCTTGTATAACTTCCTTTGAAAACATCTCTTGGCCAGGCGTGGTAGTACATGCCTTTAATCCCAGCACTCAGGAGGCAGAGGCAGGCAGATCTCTGTGAGTTCAAGGCCAGCCTAGTCAACATAGTGAGTTCCAGGACAGCTGGGGCTACAGGGAGACCCTGTCTCAAAAAGACAAAAAAAAAAAAAAAAAAAAAAGTATCTCTTACATAGTCATCAAACTCATCTTTATAGGCCATAATGTTGGCCATTCCACTTCTATACAAAAACTTTCAGTAAGGATTATCTGCCTAAAAATTCAAAATCAAGACCCTCTGTAATCTAATTTAGAGTTAATTTCAATAAAAAAAATTCTATGACAATTCAGCACTCATGAAATGATAGCAAGAATACATCAAGGAGGGCAGGGTACAATGAAATGGCTCGGGATAAGATAACTTGCTGTTAAGCCTGATGACCAGAGTTTGATCACCCAGATCCATGGCAGAGAGAGCTGACTACTACAAGTTGTTCTCTAATCTCCACATACCATAGCATATGAATGCATACATATACTTAACAAGACAAGCAAAAGAGCTTAAAAGAGTTACTTTCTACCGATGTTGGTGAAATATTATAGTCTCCCTCCTTGAGGAAATCAGTAAATAAATAATAATTGTAAATATATCTTTAAGAACAAAATCAACTTTAATTTTTAAAAATTGAAGCACAGACCAGACATGGTGACACAGACCTCTAATCCTAGCACCCATGGGTAGAATCAAGAGGATCCCTGAAGTACTGAGGATGTTGTCTATCAAGTTCCAGAGCAGTCAGGGCTATATAGCAGACTCAAAAAAAACAAACTAAACAATAACAAAAAAGGGGGTGTGGTAGGATGAGAGTGGGAGCATATCCCTTAGACCTGAAATAAGTTCTCCCTGAGATTCAAATACTATGCTCTAAATTTATTCATTTTTGCAAGAGAAAGTATATATAAATATGCCACATATACATCCCCAAAGTAATGTTTGTTATAAAACTGAAATGAAACTGCACAAATGGGGTGTGGTGGCACATGCCTTTAGTCTAAGCACTTGGGAGGCAGAGGCAGATGGAACTCTGTGAGTTCAAGGCCAGCCTGGTCTACATAGTGAGTTCCAGGCCAGCTGGGGGTACAGGGAGAACCTGTCTCAAAAAAAAGACAAAAAAAAAAAAATATTCAGACACAAATTAACTAGCATGAACACAGAAATTATTATTAGCCAGGTGTGGTGGCCTGAAGTCCCAACACTTGGGAGGCAGAGGCAGGCGGATCTCTGTCAGTTTAAGACCAGCTTGGTCTCCATAGTGAGTTCTAGGCCAGCTGGGGCTACAGGAAGACCCGGTCTCAAAATCACCAAAAAAAAGAAAAAAAAAAAGAATTACAGGAATGACTTTTCTGGGAATGCCTTGTTTATAAAGAGGAATTTTATCTCATGTTTTACAGTCATTTATCACTATGTATTCAATCTGCCTTCCCACTGTATAATCAACTTTTTTAAACTAGCCTTTAGGAAAACAGTGTAAAACAGTCTTATTAGGCCTCAACTCCCCATGTAATCAACTTTTACAAGGTGAGCTGAACACATAGCTTTAATCTCAAATTATGCTTCCTATTTCTCCTTCATGACCTTTCCTTGCCCCTGAGCCAGAAGTGTGTGTGTGTGTGTGTGTGTGTGTGTGTGTGTGTGTGTGTAAAAATACCATTGCTAAAAGCAATGGCCCTGGAAGGATACAAAGAACTGCTCACAATAAATGTAAAACAACATGTGAACTTAGGTTGCTAACATCTGTTTGTGGTTTTATATGCTGTTCTGGGTCGGAAGGGGTCAGAAAAAGTAAACATCTTCATCTGGTTAAAGACTTTTAAAGACAAAGTTTCTCATTCCTTTCCCATATCATGCTGGAAGTGCTATTTAAATAAATACAGAAAAAGTCCTTTGTTTGAGAAACATTTCCCAGAAAAACTAGAAAGGAATGGTTCTGAGAAGATACAGGGCTCACTCTGGATTTGAAGGACTCCAGGAGTGAGTCCTTCTTTAATCAGGCACTGTGACATTGTGGCATCCACCACAGGAAATCAAAGTTTACAGTAAAATTAAGCTTACCTACTTCTTATTATACATGTAAGTTCTTAGTATATTTTTATGACATTCACTGTATAGTGACACTGACTCTGTCAAAACAATTTTAAGTATATCCCAAATTTAAACCTTTAGGTACATCCAAGAATTATGGAATGTTCTGAATAGTTGAGAAATAAAAAATAGTGTAACAGATCACTTGATGATTCATGTATCACTATTATTTCACATCTGATTTTAAATTAATTTTTATTTTTTATGTGTATGATTATTTTGCCTGCATCTAAAGAAGAGCACAATGTGCATGCAAACCCACAGAGGTCAGAAGAGGGCACTGGAACTGGAGTTATAGATGGCTGTGAGCCACCACGTGGATGCTTGGAGCTGAACAAGGGTCCTCTGCAAGTGCAGCTAGTACTCTTAAGCACTGAGCCATCTCTCCAGCCCCTGAAAATAAACCCTCTTTAAAGTTGCTACCTATAACTAACCTTTTTTGGTTTTCAAAACAATAAAAACTTTCAATATTTAAGATGGTCATTTAATATACTATCACTTACTGATTGAAGCAAATGAGAATAAGAATTAAAAAAAAATGTTTTAGCAGATTATAAACCTAAATGCAAAGTGAAGTTTGATTTACATGTTTAAAATGTTAATGTGAACATGAAGAAATATGCATAGAAATGTATAGCAAAAATATTTGGAAATGTAAGTATACATACATAGTCATTCACTAACACTGGAGATTCGGTATCAGGACTTCCAGCCAAAGAGCTCTCGGGAGTTTCCTGAGCAGATTTAACTTCTTTGACTCTAGGCACTAAGGTTTCAATTTCAGTTAAAGGTAATGGCAAAGGATCAGGCTGTTTAGCTGAATCAGTAGTAGTAACTGAGTCCTGATGAGTAGCACTACATAAAGGTTGCTCATTTTCCAAGATATTGAGATAAGAGGGTTTCACAGGAGAGCTGTCTTGATCATCTGCCATCAAAAGAAAGTCTTAACATTAGAGTAATGAAACAACTGTTAAGTCTTAATCCATTATACTACAGAAAGACAACATGTATGAATGTAATCAAGACACTTATCACTCAAAAGAAAGATATTTACAAATTTTCTTAGTAATATTTCCCCAAATTCAGATAAAAAGATTTACCTAAGGAAATTTTAATTTAGAATCTTGAAGGTCACCTAATTTTTAATGAATTAAGATTCAACACTAAGTCCTGATATTATTTTAAAACAAAATAAAACAAGGCAAACTCCTCTCTCATTTGTACTTTCGTAAAGATCTTAGATAATCTGTACAGATAAATACTTGTCAATAAAAAAAATTTTTGCTGAGACTGGTTGAGCATGCCTTTAATCCCAGCACTCAGGAAGCAGAGGCAGTTTCAGGCCAACATGATCTACACAGTGAGTTCCAGGCAGCCAGGGCTACACAGTAACACCCTATCTCAAAAAAAGGAGAAGCTAGGTGGACGTGCAATACGGGCACACACCTGCAACTCTAAAACTTGGGAGGTAAAGGCCAGAGGATAAAGTGTTCAAGGTCACCCTAAACTACATATACAGTGCAAGGGTAGCTTTGGGCTATGTGAGATGCTGCTTTTTTTTTTTTTTTAATTGCTGTTCGTACAAAATCCTCTGATATTTCTTTTTTAAAAGATTTACCAGAAGAACAAACATAGACATCAAGTCCAAAGTGCCTTTACACTTGTATCAGCTAAGAATTGATACTTTTTAATAAAAAAGTTTAAGCACAGAGAAAATATTTTACAAAATCTTAAAATTAACCAGTTAGCAGGCTGGAGAGACGGCTCAGTGATTAAGAGCACTGACTGCTCTTGCAGAGGATTCGATTCCCAGCACCCACATGGTGGCTATGAACCGTCCTTAATTCCAGTTGCAGGGGAATCTGAAGCCCTCTTCTGACCTCCATGGCATTGCATGACATGGGTGCACTCACATACATGCAGGCAATACACTCATACACATAAAATAAAAATAATAAATATTTTTAAAAATTAACCAGTTATGTAGATTTCTTACTCTTATTAGTATGTTCTTGGTCTGATGGGACATTTGTGCTTTCTGCAGTTTTTTCAAAATCATGTTGTTGAACCTAAAAGAAAAAGATATTTTAACAGCAAAGCCTTAGAATATATAGTTACAATAAAGGAGATAATCACTATGGTTTTTTTTCCCAAACTCAAGAGCTTCAAACAAGAAATGTAAAATATCTTCACCAAGGAGGCTTTGGTTACAATTAAAAGATGGCTAATTGGGGTTGGAGAGATGGCTAAGCAGTTAAGAACACTGGTTTCTTTTGCAGAGGACCAGGGTTTGATTCCCAGCACCCATGTAGTGGCTAACAACTATCCCTAACTCCAGTTCCAGGGGATTCTACACCTTCTTCTGACCTCCACAGGCAATGCATGACAAGGGTGACCTTACACACATGCAGTATGAGTGTACTGCCTGCATGTGCTGGAACTCATGAGTTGCTGGACTAGAGTCACCTGGTCCCTCCAATATAAAATCAAAATGGAGAACCTGAAGCCTAGACCCACAAGCTTTTCATACCCAATAAGAAAACAACCAAGGCACATCAAGTATACAAACAGAAACAAACTTCAGTTCAACAAAGGAAGGCTTGAGTCTCGCACCAGAATCACAAACAACAAAGAAATCCACATGCCAAAATCACAACGAAAAAATATGAAAAACCCCCAAAAATCAAACACAACAGCCCTATTGAAGAGTTTTACCAGAACCTCCTAGAGATAACACAGAATTTAAAAGAACAATCATAAACATAATCAAAGAATTGAACAAATTTAAAGGACACACAAACTAACAAATCAAAGAACTAAAAGAATATAGGGATAAACTTCTGACTGAATTCACAAAAGAGATAGAAACACTGAAGAAAACTCAGGCTGAAATGAAGAAGTGAAATAATAAGCCAATCAAAATGACAGGAGAAAGCCTCACCAATAGAAATAATGAAATGGAAAACAGAGTATCAAGACTAGATGACAAAGTTGAAGAATTGGATCACTCAAGTAAAGATTAGACATTTTTTTTAAAAAACACAGGAATGGAATATGCAGGAAATGTGGGACATCAGGAAAAGGCCAAATTTACACATCATAGGCATAGAGGAAGAAGAATAGAATCTCAGGATAATGGTATGGACCAGATCTTCAGCAGGATTGTAAAAGAAAATTTCCCAAAATTAAAGACATGTCCATACAAAAACAAGAAGCATGTAGAATACCAAAAAAGACAGGACCAGAAAAGAAACTCCCCACAGCACATCGTAGTGAAAACACTAAATGTATAGAAGAGAGAATACTGAAGGCAGCAAAAGAAAAACAACTGATATATAAAGGAAAACACATGAAAATTACAGCTGACTTTTTAATGCAAACTATGAAAGACAGAAGCACCTGGACCAAAGTATTCCCAGTTCTAAATGACCATAGATGCCAATGCACAATACACTACCCAGGAAAAATGTCTATTATAGTTGAAGGGGAAAGAAAAATATTCCACAACATGAATAGGCTGAAAGAATTCATGTCTACAAAACCAGCCTTTCAGAGAATTCTTGAACCAGTACAAAGAGCTGAAGAAAGGAATGACTATACCCAAGGGGCAACAGAAGGAAAGTAAATGAAGGTGTAACTGTGGAAACACAAAGTTAGAACAAGAATACAAACAGAAATTAAAAAGATGGGAACCAAAACACATCTTTCAATAATAATAAGTATCAATGGACAGTACTCCCAAGTTAAAAGACACAGACTAGTTGAATGGATTAAGAAACAAAATCCATCTTTTTGTTGTCTGCAAGAAACCCGTTTCACCTTAAAGGACAGGCACTACCTTAAGGTGAAAGGGGCACTCCCTTAAGGTGAAAAGATGGAAAAAAATATTTCAACCAAATGGCACTAAGAAACAAGCAGGAGGTGCAATTCTAATATCTGTCAAAATAGACTTCAAACTGAAACTAATCAGAAGAGATAAAGAGGGTCTGTTCATTCTAGTCAAAGAAAAAAATAACCAAGATGATAATACAGTCATGAATATATATGCACCAAACTCTGGTGCACCCAACTTCATAAAAACAGTACTACAGGACTTTAAAAGACACAGATTAATCCTAACTCACTAATAGTAGAGGACTTCAATACTCCACTGTCTCCATTAGACATGTCAAGTGGACAAAGAATAAACAGAAAGGCATCTGAATTAAATGATACCATACATCAAATGGACCTAACAGACATCTACCAAATATTCCACCCAAGCACCAAAGAATATACTTTCTATTCAGCACCCCATGGAACTTTCTCCAAAATCAACCACATACTGGGGCACAAAACAAACCTCAACAAATTAAAAAAAAAAAAAAAAACTGAAATAATTGCATGCATTCTATCAGACCACAATGCAATAAAGCTTAAAATTACATCAGAAGAAGCCCTAGCAACTACACAAACTCATGGAGATTAAACAACACACTCCTAGCAACTACACAAACTCATGGAGATTAAACAACACACTCCTGAATGATGAGTGGATCAAAGGAGAACTTAAGAAAGAAATAAAAGAATTCCTGGAATTAAATGAAAGGGACAATACAATACAACAAAACCACTAGGACAGTTTGAAATAGTCCTAAGAGGGAAGTTTATAGTTCTAGGTGCTTACATTAAAAAAATCAGAGCACACAAATAAATGACTTAACATCACAACTCAAGACTCTGGAAAAGGCAAGAACAAATGAAACCCAAACCCAGCAGACAAGAAGAAATAACAGAAATCAGAGCAGAAATTAATGAAAAAGAAACAAAGGAAACAATATAAAGAATCATTTAATCTAACAGCTGGTTCTTTGAAAAGCTAAACAAGATAGACAGACCCTTAGCCCAGTTAATCAAAAGAAAGAGCAAATCGAAATCAACAAAATCAGAGACGAAAAAGGAAACATCACAACAGACACCAAAAAGATCTAGAACATTATAAGGGAATACTTTAAAAACCTATAAGCTACTAAACTTGAAAACCTAAAAGAATTGCTGGTGTATCTAAAAGCATGGGAACCACCAAAACTAAACCAAGAAGAGAGTCCTTTGTTTTGGGAAGACAATCTGGTCTTCACCTAGCAGCAATCAGTTGCCAACATTTTTTCAGATAAGATTGAAGTCTTCTGTTCATTTTTCCAGTTCTGTGCTGGGTTATTGTCTGCCTGAGTTTTCATGGGACTTGTGTATGTTGACACCATTGCCATAGAATAATATGACCATGTGCCCAGGAGCTTGTAGGACTCTGTTTCCAAAAATTATCAACAAAGTACTTGCAACCTGCATACAGACACACATCAGGAAGATTTGCCACCATCATCAAGTCAGCTTTATTCAAGAGATTCAGGGATGGTTCAATATACATAAGTTAATAAACATCATAAATCATAAAAAGAACTCAAAGACAAGAACCACATGGTCATCTCAAGAGATGCAGAGAAGGCCATTGACAAATTCACCATGCATTTATGTTCAAAGTCCTAGAGGGAATTGGACTGGAGGGAACATACCTCAACATAATTAAAGCTACATACAACAAACCCACAGCCAATATCATTCTGAATGGAGAAAGCCTGGAAGCATTCCCATTAAAATCAGGAATTAGACAAGGTTATCCACTATCTCAACTCATTTTTAATATAGTGCTTGAACCTGTTGCTAAAGCAGTAAGACAAGAGGAGGAAATTAAAGGAGTACTAATTGGAAAAGAAGTCAAATTATCCCTTTCTGCAGATAATATGATATTATACCTAAGAGATACCAAATATTCCACCAGAAAACTCCTAGAAATGATTGACACTTTCAGTAAAGTGGCAGATTATAAAATTAATCTACAAAAATCAGTAGCTTTTCTATATACCAATAACAATTTTAAAAAAATCTCGGAATAAATGTGACCAAAGACATTAAAGACCTCTACAATGAAAATTTTAAATCTTTAAAGAAAGAGATTAAAGAAGACACCAGGAAATGGAAGGACCTCTCATGCTCAGGGATTGAAAGAATATTGTGAAAAATGACCATCCTACCAAAAGCCATTTCTAGATTCAATGCAATGCCAATCAAAATCCCCATGACATTCTTCACAGAATTAGAAAAAAAATCCTAAAATTCATATGGAAACACAAAATTCCCCCAGATAGCCAAAGCAACTCTGAGCACAAAGAGCAATGCTAGGGGGATTACTATACCAGATTTCAATCTGTATTATAGAGCTATAGTCAGAAAAGCAGCACGGCACTGGCACAAAAGTAGCCCTGTAGATCAACAGAACACAGTCGAACACCCAAACAAGAGTACATGCAATTTCAGCTACCTGATATTTAACAAAGGGGCCAGAATGCTCACTGGAGAAATGACAGCATCTTCAGCAAATGTTGCTGGCAAAACTGGATCTCCTCCTGTAGAAGAATGAAGCTAGACCCTTATCTTTCACTTTATACAAAAGTCAACTCCAAATGGATCAAAGACCTCAGTGTGAAACCTGAAACTCAAAACTGTTGGAAAACATTGGTAATAACATATAACATATTGGTGTAGAAAAGGACTTACTAAAAAGCTTCTGTACATCAAAAGAAACAGCCAAGGAAGTAAAGAGAAAACCCAGAGTAGGAGTAAATCTTCACCAGTGACACCTCTGACAGAGGGTCAACATTCATTATATATAAAGAACTCAAAAAACAAAGAATCAAGAAAGCAAGTGACCTAATTAAAAGATAGGATAAGGATCTAAACAGAGACTTTTCAAAAGAAGAAATAAATATGGCTAAGAAACCATCATTAGTAATTAGGGAAATGCAAACTAAAATCTTACCCCAGTCAGACTAGCTAAGATCAAGAGAACAAATGATACCAAATGCTGAAGAGGATGTGGAGAAAGGGAAATGTTCATTCACTGAAACCCCTATGGAAAGCAGTGTGGAGAACTCTTCAAAAACTAAAAATGAACCTACCATTTGACCCAGTTATACAGCTCCTTGGCATATACCCAAAGGACTCATCCTATTGCAGACATACCTGTACATCCATGTTTGTTGCTGCTCTTTTCACAATAGCTAAGAGATGGAAGCAACCTAAGTGTCTCTCAACCGATGAGTGGATAATGAAAATGTGATAATTTACACAATGGAAACTGAGCAGTAAAGAAGATGAAACCATGAAATTTGCAGGTAAATGGATGGAACAAGAAACTATTGTTCTAAGTGAAGTAACACAAACTAAAAGAAAACAAACAAACAAACAAAAAAACCCTTGTATTTGCATATGTATCCTGATGTAACTGCAGGAACCAGGATAACTGAAAGGAATCAGGGAGGTAAAGAGAAAGAAGGAACCTGGGAGAGACAAACCATAGGAGACAGGTGTTACTAAGGGAGAAATAGATAAAAATTGGGGTTTTTAAATGCAAGGGGAGGGGGTTATACAAGGAACATTGGGGATAAAGTAAGAAAGGAGTTCAAGAGAGGTGGGACCACAGGAGACTGGTATTATCAAGGGAGAAATGGGGAAAAGAGGAACACTTTAAATGGGGAAGTCATGGTGCAAGGGTTAGACAGGGAAAGGAGAGGAGAGATAAATAATGCCTAGCTAATGTGAAAAAAGAGAGGAAATGGTATTAGTCCAACAACTTAATGGCAAATCACATACAATATCTCTAAATGAATCCATGAATACAGGTAAAGGCTACATAACAAGAAACAGTGCCAGACAGGAGAAACCTTCCTTTGAGTTGTTGGCCAGAATGGTCCAAGAGACTCCCAAAATTACACAGGTTATTGCTACAGCCCTTAGCTGTCTCCAGAACTTTAAGGGAACCCTGCTCCTGAAAGCAGAACATACTTCGGACATAGCGTTTGGAGCAATGGAGCTGGAACTGACCTGGAAGCCACTTCCCCTGACAGCTAGTTATCATGGCTTTGGAAAGCCCTATGCAAGGTGCTAAGGGAGAATATCAATCAATGGTCCAACACCAGTTTCAAGAGCAAATAACCCTATCAATGACCTGCACAGCATATGACATTGGTACAGTAGTGACACTTTTATCTTGGGGGCAATCAATAGCTACCTAATTGGACTAAAAGCTCATTAAATGAGAGGAAACTCATACACATGGCTGGAGAGATCATAGATCTTAGGGAAATTCCCCAAACTGTCACATCCCTAGACTAATATCATTTCTTACTATGTGCTACTATGTACTTACTATGTACTCTTTTTATTTACAGTCAAATATCCCAGTCACCACTCATCTGTCTGCACCAGACAGAGACTATGACAGAGTATCACAACTGGTCACACACAGACATTGTCTGTGAACTGCCCAAGTCTAAATGGCATATCTGCAACCTTTATACCTAAGGCTCATAGAACATAGAACAAGGAGTGAGAAGAAAGTAATGAATATCTTAATTCTCATTAATGAAGCTCCCTCATGCAACAGAGGGCTAGGAACAGAAAGGCCACAAATGGCCAAAGTATAGGAGACTAAAAGTCTGCAGAATGCTGGTCCTTGGACAGAACTTCTATATTAAACGTCACCCACCCAGGACTTGGGGACCATGTGGAAGATTGTAAGAGCCAGGGAGGAGGTGCATGACTACAGTAAATAGAGTCCTACAAACTCCTGGGACCCAGCTCGTATGAGCCACAAAAATGGTGTCAGCATGCACAGTACCCATGCAAACTCAGACAAAAACCCAGCATAGAATTGGGAAAATGGACAGCTGACCCCAGTCTTAGCTGAAGAAATATTGGCAACTGATTACTGCTGAGCGAGGAAGAGCTGATCTTCTAACTCGAGACACTCTAGACTGATTAGACCTCAAGAGATAGGAACTTGCACTGAGGGACATCTGGGGACACTAATTTGACACAATAGCCTAAACACAAATAACAGAATGTATGAATTCCAGTGTGTATGGAGGGGGGTATGGGAGGGTGCCAGTAGGGAAGGGGGTATAAAGAAATTAAGATTGATTGAGATGCTCTGTATGAAATAATTTCCTTTTCTTCATAGACAAAGATAAAACTTCATCTAGAATAAAAAAGAGTCTACCTTATTTTTTTTTAACTTTTTTGACAACTATAAAGCGAAGAGGAAGATGAACAAAGCCAAGTATTTGTTTGTAGCAGGGGAGAAGAAACAAAAACTGACATTCACCCCAGAAATGGAAGCAGCAGATTCTAGAAAGTGTCAGAGGACTATACTAGAAGGACAGGGCTTGGTGATCAAAAAGTAGTGATATTGGTGGTAGTTGTTTAAATCTTCTAAGGAAAAACTAAAGACTCCTAGTATCTCATGCCCAACCTTATAGAAAATGGGAGATTACATTTTCAAGAAACTGATCTAGTGTCATACCAAGGATGGCACTCAGGGGAGGTACAATAAAGAATGCATAAACAGGACATGGTTAAAAAAAAACCTTCTATTTGAAGGGCTGGAGGATTAGTTCAGGGGTTAAGAACACTCACTGCTCTTGCAGAGGATAGGTATGTGGCAGCTCATGATCCTTTGTAACTCTAGTTCCAACGGATCCAATGCCCTCTTTCTTGCCTCCTTGGGCACCAGGCACACACGGTACACACACATACAAACACTCAAACACATAAAATAAATCTTTTAAAATATCATATTGAAAACAAGGATTTAGTGTAAGTATACATAGTGGTAGAATACTCAGCCCATTAATTCGGCTCCAGAATACCAGCAGTTCAGTTTATATATGACCCAGGCAGGAGAAGAGAAAACCTTTCCTCAAAGAAAACAAACCACTCCAAAGAAAACAATAGACACTGACAAATGAGTTTCATTCAGAAAGTTAGATGTCTACATAATATCCTATAGAGAAACTCAAGAGCCCAAACCAGTTTTTTTAGGGTGCTTATCTATAAATCTTTAATATAAACACCCAAGTTTCAGCAGATATTTAAAGCTTACTAGTACAGAAGAAAAGAAAAAAATTATTTAAAAATTAATAATCAGAAAAAATTAAAAGGTACTTAGGCATAATAAATAGGACCGTTGAAATAAAACTAACTAATATAAGTGTTATGGTCCAGGAAATATTCCAGAAGGTTTAAAAAAGAAAGATTAAGCAATGGGATAATAAAAGGAACAAAAGGAATGAGATGATCAACCCATTAAAGTTAATAATATCTAGGCTGGGCATGGTGGCATACACCTTTAATCCCAGCACTCAGGAGGCAGAGGCAGGCAAATCTTTGTGAGTTCGAGGCCAGTCTGGTCTACATAGTGAGTTCCAGGACAGATGGGGGGACAAAGGAGACTCTCTCTCAAAAAACACACACACACACACACACACACACACACACACACACACACACACATTATATATAGCACATTAATTTCTAAAGAGAAAAGAGAAAATGATAGAATAAAGAAAATTTAGCAAATTTAGGAAAAGGATACAAATTGAAAGAGCCAATGAACGCATGCATAATAGAAAAACAAGCATAACAAAGCACATTACTATAGAATTCCAAACTTGTAAAAAACTTTTCAGAGTAGAGAGGGAGAAAAGATAAACACAAAGGATGTGAATTAAGGAGGCATGGTGTATCAGTCAAACAGCAATACATTTAAAAGATCTAAAGGAAAATATTTTCAACACTCAGGAATTGTTTTTAGATATGTAATGCCTTAAAAATATTTACCTATCATACATTTTCCTCTCAGAGTGTTACTAGAAGATCCATTACCCCCTAAATGGGGTCATGAAGAAGTGAGAAAGACAAAAGACTACATTTCATACAAAGAGATCTGATAAAGAACATAAATGGATAAATGGACTTCCTAGGTTGGTAACTATTCAGCAGGCCTAAAGTGAAACAAATGTAGAATGTAGCAGGAAGGGCTAATACCTGAAAAAGACAAAAAGGGAATGAAAAAAAAATCATTTAA